GAATATTCTAAGGGATTCAGTATAGTCATTGTCATAATTTGGAGTAGAACGATTTTAAGTGAGGTCAGCTGCTTTCCAGATTGGTTTCTAGTGCAAGGCCCTGCGTGTGTGTGTTAACGTAACTTTCTCTTTACTTAAATGGCATGGCCTTAAATTTTCCAAATTAAAGAACCACATGGCATGAATGGATTTTCTGAGTTTCTTGCGGGAAACATCAGGCTCATTAAGCTTGGAAGGCACAGAAACAGTGAGGCCTGATGGGGTAAGTCAGCACGCCAGAGATTAAGATTGAAATTCAAAATGCTACGTTGGAAGAGAGAGAAACAAACAAGTGGCACTAGTGAGAACTGTGCACGTGTCCAGCAAGGTCTCTGCATGTTGTGTAAGGATTTGGAAGGACATGAGCTGCAGCTGAGAAAGAATTACTTAATAGAGCTATTTAAAAAGAAATTATGGAAATTACAAATGACACATGAATATATGACAATGTTAAAACTTTCTGGTAATCAAAAGACAATTAGAGCAACAATGAAATATCATTTTGTGCTTATCCAATTTGCAAAGCTAAAAATTAATAATAGAAAGCACTTGGGGAAATGGGATACCTTTAATAAAATGGTGATGGGTAGTACATGGTACAACCCTTGATAGAAAGCAATTTGTCAAAACACATTCAAAACAATATTAACATTCAGCATTCACAAATTCACTTTTTGAGAATCAGATACATGTACAAATTTAAAAACAAGGATGTTCAGCACCATTTTACTGACAATTAATATGAGATGCAAACTATGTAACCAACCTCTTTAGTGACAGGTTACATAAATGCTATAACGAAGAAATTTGTTAAAGCCATTAATGACTACATTTTGGACAGATATTAACAGTGTAGAAAAAGTATGTTTTATGTATGAAGGTGAAAACAGGGGGCACAATTATTTACAAAACACAATGCCAATCTTCTTACTGTGTATGTATGTTCATATATGTGCATATTACAAATAAATAGTCGGAAACAGATACGTGAAAACATTTATCGCTATTTCTCAGTAGTAGATTTCTAGGTAATTTAAATTTTCCTCTTTGGGTTTCCTGTTAATTTATAAATTACTCAGAATAATGTGCTATCCTTCTAATCATAAGTATATTTTTATATTCTTATTTCTGAAATGAACAACCAAAGTCAGTGCTGTACTTAGATCTGTTTTTCATAGCTGTACCTGTGGATACTGAATTAGCTGATCTCTATGGTTCTTCCTGTTTCTAAAGTTTTACACATTTTATGAAAAACAGTGATTTAGAGACATACAGACGGACAGACAGACAGACAAACACAAGTCTTATTAACAGACATAAAATAACACACAAGAACATAGTCAGAGACAACTGGAGTGCCAGAGGCACACTGTCGATGTGTTTCTTAGTGGAAATCAGTGGTTCCACTCTGATGGGCACCGGGGCTTGGCAGTGACATCTAAGTCAGTATCGCTATTTTTTAAAGTGATAATGATGATGGAAAAATACAGTAATTTTAAGTACAAGTATACCAAGTATACTACTTACTCTCTGCCAGGAATGCATGCTGTATACACATTGCATTTTAGGTACTAAGATGTTCATTTCATGTAGAAAAAAAAGTTATAAGTTAAATAAAATGTTTAACATTTCATGACCAATAATCAAATGACAATATTCCTTACACTTTCTTTACTTGTAATTTCCACCTTTTTTAACATAAGCCTTTGTTTTACCATAGACTTTTTTCTCTCTTTTTGATGGGACAAAGGTATTTCTCTTGTAAACTCCGAAGGATTTATCAGTTTACTAACAATGCCTGAATTGTCTTTGACAGTTAAACTATCAGCTCACCCAATCCTTTTTGAAAGAAGAAAGCTACTTTAATTAATTATGCTTGAAAGTTACATTAAAATTATTGAAATACATTGAAACTATTTGGAGGTCTTTAAAAACTGAAAAACAAGTGTTTTTTTGTTGATGTTAGGAAGAATGAATAGGGAGACATTTTAATAATAAATAAATTAAAATTGCTTTACAGATTTTTGAATGCTTTACTAAATCTTCACCAAATCTGATAACAAGGGTACAGTAATGGTGATCTACTGGGAAAAACTATTTTCCAGGCTTGAGTTCACATTCCCATGTTTCCATGACTACATGAAGCCAAAGGTTCTACAACCTATGTAACCAAAATAATTAAAAGAATAGAAAATTGATCTTATGAGAACAAGGTTCTATGTAACACGCCTTGGAATACAGAAGAAATGAAACTACTCATTACTTAGGATAAAATAATTTGTTCCCTAAATCTTCTTGTGGTGGGGGGAGGGGAAGGTAACAGAGGCAAAGTGTTTACATTTCCTACAAAGACAATTCTTAACAGTGAGTGTTGCTAAATGAGGGAACTGAATTTTGAAAAAAAAACTTACATTGGTCTAAACTCTGATAGTTGAATAAGTAACACAGATCTGTAGGAATCAACTTATTTCTCACAAAAGAAATATATTGGTATAATTTGTATTGTGCTAATCTTGGGTTATCCTAATCTCTGGCATAAAGATGTGCTTTTTGTTAGCTGAGAATACAATGCAACAATATATCTCTTTTATACAGAATCTCATGTAACAGACACAGTTATGCTTTATAAATATGGGAGATACTTTGAAGGAGATAAAATTTTTTGTTCGCAAAATGATTTTTAAGTAGAACATAGCCATTCTAATTTTCTTGCATAAGTACGGTCCCGTCTAACAGCAGCGATGGCAGAACTAGAGACCCAAATATTCCATTCCTTCTTGGTTAATTTTCTCAGGATGGAACAGTAAGGATAACAGGACATGGGACTGCTATTCCAGTATGCAAATTGTCTGAGGGAAGCTTTTCTCTGAACTCTAAGTCTGGGTTATTTTAGATAACTGCTGAGTTCCAAACTTCAGACATAATCTGGTCTGAAAATTCATATGAATTTTGCCAATTTATTCAATGAGATTTATATTTGAAAATATTTTTCCCCCAACACATAATAGTTATCCTTTCATAGCACAACAAGAGATGCACAATTACACTTTAGGGCCCCGATAGCTAACTACAATTTTATCATAGGGAATATACCAACATAATACTTGCATAATAAAATACATTTGTAAAAAAAACATATTTTGGTTGGTCTTTTTATTTAAGCAATAATATATCAGAACAACAATATGGACTGGGAGCCCTGCTGAGCAAGCTGCAAATAATTTTTTTTTCAGCAATGAAAAAAGAACCAAGAAATAAACTAAAACTAGTATGTCCTTCTACTCGTGCAATAATTGACTCCAGCCATGCTTGATTTAAGAACACTGAAAGAAAGAATGTGAGAACAGCCGTCCTCAAACAGAAGCCAACTTCAGCTGTCCCAGGGTTTGGCCTCTTATTTAAGAGCTTGTCGGGATGCCTTTATGTTGCCTACACATATTAATACATCCTTGCCTTGTTCACAGTACAATTTAGTTTCTGGAAAATCTGCTTTGATTTAACAATTCCCTTGAATATTGCCTCCCACAAATTCTCAGCTAACAAGGAGAAAGCCCATGTTCTTCGCCAAGCAGAACCATCATGTATGAATGCCATTCAGTTGTAAAATCACCATTCAATTGTAAGATAGTTGTGAGATAACCCTTATGTTTCTGCTAATCCATTGCTTTAAAAATTATAGCTTCCACTCCAATTGTTTTCTATATTTGAGAGTTGACATAATTAAGTAGAATCACCTCAAGTCATGACCAAAGAGCATGTGCATGTGATAAATTACCACTCTAATGAAATAAAAGAAGAAAAAGAACTTTCAACACGAAAGAAAAATGATTTCATCTTGAGATATATTTTCTTATCTCCCATTTCTTTAAATAAGAACACATAGGACACAGACACCCCCCACCCCAACTCCAAGTGCTACCACAGCAAAGCATCTTTCAGGACTGCTTTTGGAGTAAAGAAGATTCAAAAACCAGAAACTTTCAACAGATGCCTCTTTGTAGGATCAGAATGGCTAATGCAGTTAGCATTTTAGTTTCTAATGCAACAAACAGTTGTCCAGAGTAACACATCCCTTTTTATGCTACAAAATGTAAACTAGGCTAGATGGGCAAACATAATTTAAAGAAAATACATATCTTCTCTGGTGGTAGGTACAGCTCCACCCAGATTTTTATTTACCTAAATTCGTACTTTTTCTTTCATCTTCCTTTAGACTCTAAAACAGTTTTACACAAACACATTAAATGTAAGATAGCACAAAGCTGTGGTTTTGCTCAGAAACTTAAGATAAACATACATGAAAAGTCATATGCCTATCAATCAAATAATTCGTCACTGTTCTATGTCATTCTTATTAATAAAAGAACTATATCTGCTTAGCCAAGTCGACTATCCCAAAGAATCTAGCTAGGCATGGTGGCTCAGGCCTGTAATCCCAGCACTTTGGGAGACCTAGGCAGGAGGACCACTTGAGCTAGGGGGTTCAAGACCAGGCTGGGCAACATAGCAAGACCTCGTTTATTCCAATAATAATAATTTAAAAAATTAGCTGAGCATGGTGGTGCATGCCTGTGGTCCCAGCTACTCAGGATGCTGAGATAGGAGACTCATTTGAACCTGAAAGGTCAAGGCTGCAGTGAGCTGTGACTGCACCACTGCACTCCAGCCTGGGTGACAGACTAAGACCCCAAATCAAAAGAAAGGAAAAAAAAAAACAAGAAAAAAAATCCAAAACTACACATTCTTGGCTTGGCTATTTAATTTCTCTTCACCTGAGTTAGTTCAAGGATGACAGAGATAGTCCAACAGGAGTTATAAGCCAAACAAGGGAATTAACAAGCATCAATCAGCTAATCAATTAGCTGTTATTTTTTTTCTTCAGGTACATCTTCTTCAGGTCGATCTCCTTTAAATTTACCCCACAGAGGCTCACTCATTGCGACTGCCCTTCTTCTACTTACTGGGAATTTGTTGGATCCTGTGAACAACGACAAATGCATCAGAAAGTCCGACTTTCACTGGATGATTGGTTGAACTTATCTGTGTGACCAAGACAGGAATCTGGAAAAGAAAAAGCAGGTTGCTACATGTTAGATCTGAATTTCATACAGGGAGGAAAGGCAGTAAGATCTTCTTGTTTCATGGACAAAACCATGGGAAGGAGATAAAAGACTAGAGAGGGAGCCAAAAGTATTAGAAAAGAGAGACATAGGAAACCAAAAAATAACATCGGTTTAGTGTTGCTGAATAAACAGAAGAATCAAGAGTTCCTGGGTCTGGAGATGGCTATTTGATGTTGAAAGTAACAGATTCTCAGCGAATCTAACTGATGTTAGATGCTGCAATCTTAACACACATACAGGCACACCATTAATGCATTTAGGGCTGCCTATAATTTTGGAAACAGAAATTCTCCTCTTACTCTTCGTTTTCCTAAAAAACTGATTGTATATTTGTTTTTATAGTTTTAGAAAATCCTTGTTTATAAGCAGTCTTATAGATATAAAACCTAGAGAAAAACAAAAAAATGCATGGCTAAATATACATTTGCCAATACCCTCACTGATTAATATCTAATTAAATTTGGCAACAATTTCACCATTCTGGTTGAAACTACCATGAAAAACTTCTAAGTTCTTAGGGGTCATCTCAAGGTCACAGTTCTTAAATTTGAATCTAAATGAATCCACAGTCTGAATATGATAGACAGTTCTAATATTTACAATTTAAAAATTAGGATAAATTGAGAATATATGAAAAACTATATATGTTACAAATGATATGAACTCAGAGTATATTTTTTCAGATTCAGAAAGGATTCATTGGAGATATGATTACTCTCTTTATTATCAGTTTTATAGAGACAAAAATGGGAATGAGACCATCTTCAATAAATAAAGAAACAGGAAAGTAAAAGAAAAGAATCAATGTGCCAAAAATGTCTTAAGGCAGAATAAACAGATTTGGGGCTATCTATGGGTAATTCATTAAATAATATGTTAAAGCAGATATTACTGATCAACAGAGTGTCATTCTGTTGCTCAGGCTGGAGTGCAGTGTTGGAATCATAGCTCACTGCAACCTCGACCTCCAGGCCTCAAGTGATCCTCCTGCCTTAGCCTCCTGAGTAGCTGGCTATTTTATTTTTATTTTTTTATTTTTTTGCAGAGCTAGGGTCTCACTATGTTGCCCAGGCCGCAAAATGAACTCCTTCTTGACTAACAATGAAGAGATTATATAGGTGTGTAGGTGTATGTATAAAAAAACTATTTAAAAGTATAGCCAGTATTGGGCAAATTAGCACAAGAATAAAGCTGTTATTGTCACGATCACCTATTTTATAGAGGACTCTATATTTATAAGGATATGATGCGCCCAAGTCAGTGAATATATGGACCAAAAAGATGTCAAAAGACCAAAACTCTAAAATCTTTGACTGTGGGAAGCTATTTTGTTATCCTGTCTACAAATTTATATTCATCCTCAAAATGTCTCATGAGTCATCTAAGCTGAGAATGTCGGGTAGCCAAAATGAAAAAATAAAAACTCTAAACTATAGAAGTTTTTTTTTTTTTTTTTTTTTAAACAATGTAGCTTCATTATTTTCAAGTGTCTATAATGGTTGCCTTCTTAAGATTAAAGTAAAGCTAAATTTTAACTGGGCCTTGGTATGATCTGTATTGAATCACACATCTCTGGTGAATTGGTTTCACAATTACATTCTCTTCAAAGGAGAGAAAGAAAAGGAGCTCTCGCACCAGTTAAAATATGCTTCTATTTTGACTTCTACAAGCATTCATGAATACTTTTTTAAACAACAGTATAATTTTTGTTCCATATGACCAGATAGAGACAGGTTTCTTGTTTGGTATACATGTTTCTATAACTGAGATGTTGAAGCAAAGCAAGCGTAGAAGCAGAAAGTGGTTGGAATGAGTGCACAAAGTCAAGGCGGGAGAAGAGGTCAGCAGTAAGCAAAAGTGGAGCAGGGCACACTGGCCTTTGGAAGGAGCATCAGAGACAGACACTGCTCGTTTCTCCACGCTGGGGTATCTTTCTCCAGCACATAGGAACCCCACCCAATCCCTTAAACATGAGCTTTTTACATCTGTCTCTAAAGCACAGAGAAAACAGCATGCTGCTTAATAGTTAATGGAATTTTATTTTCTCTGTCTGTTCTGTCCTGAAAACATCACCAAAACATTCATTTGTTTCCATTACAGGCCCAGCTATCTATCCAATAGGCAGCAGAGTATCTCAGCAAGGGTTTGATTGTATAGTATGTGTTCCAAGATGTGAATCATATGTCTATCAAAGCTTAACTGGAAAAGAAGTACTCCAAACTCATTTTTGCTTCCTTGCTAATCTCCAATATGATGTTTAGTAATTTAAGATTAAAAACAACAGCAACAACAAAAGCCCCCAATATACCTCAAGCTTTCTGTTTTACCCATTCTTATTTGCCTATAACCCTTAACTTTTTCCTTTGTTTTCCTTAAATATCTGAACCGGATTCAGTGTTATCAATAGTGAATCTAATTTTTTTTTTTTTTTTTTGAGACGGAGTTTCGCTCTTGTTACCCAGGCTGGAGTGCAATGGCGCGATCTCGGCTCACCGCAACCTCCGCCTCCCGGGTTCAGGCAATTCTCCTGCCCCAGCCTCCTGAGTCGCTGGGATTACAGGCACGCGCCACCATGCCCAGCTAATTTTTTTTTTTTGTATTTTTAGTAGAGACGGGGTTTCACCATGTTGACCAGGATGGTCTCGATCTCTTGACCTCGTGATCTGCCCGCCTCGGCCTCCCACAGTGCTGGGATTACAGGCTTGAGCCACCGCGCCCGGCCCAGTGAATCTAATTTTTAAGAGTCATAATCTCTTTTATTATTATCAAAATAATGACCTGTAGCCCCAGTTACCTGGGAGGCTGAGGCAGGAGAATCACTTGAGCCAAGGAATTGGAGGCTGCAGTGAACTATGATGGTGCCATGACACTCCAGCCTGAATGACAGAACAAGACTCTGTCTCTAAAACACACACACGCACACACACACACACACACACACACACACACACACTGCAAAATATTAATACTAAGTTGTCTGTAAACTACACCTGAATAGAAGGGCTTTCAGTTAAATTTGACAATGTAAAAGTCCATTTGCTTTCTGGGCTATCGCTAACAATTTGCACAATTATTTCAGTCCTTTTTCAGTGTACAGCTCCTGAACTCTTTCCTCTGCTGGGTATTGAGCAATGCATCTAACAGCATGAAAGTCAGGGTGAGCTATCATCAAACAATCAATTCCTAACATGCCTCCTGCCCTCATCTCCACAATCATAATCTGTAGAAAATCTGGAAGCACTCAACTAACAGCATGAAAGTGATAAGCAAAATCCACCTTCGCTTTAAAACAGTGGTTCCAAATTTCCTTTCTTCATAAGCTACTGTGTGCTTCAGGTAAGAAAGAAGAAATTCCTGAGGGAGAAGCTGCAGGGTGCACACAATGAGTGAATTTTCCAGCTGATATCTGTCATGTGGAAATGCAAGCCAAGCGCTTCCAGGGCTTTCTGAGTCCTCAAGAAGAAAATGCAAATCTGTATTTTTACTCGAAATGTTTTAATATTTAAATATTGGCAACATATCTGTCTTGCAAACATATATGTATACATAAAACATTAAAAATATACATAGAGTAAAACGTGTACCCTTTGATTTAAAGACTGCTCACACTGAATTGACACATGAAGAGTCTGAGTTTCATACAAAAACAGTGACACAGCATGCTCACTTGAAGAAGCTTGCACCATTGGACTCAAGACAGCTCAGACTCTGGTGTGGACTTCACCTGGCACAATAGCTAGATAAAGAAGCTTACTTAAACATGGCTTGGGAATTAAACATTAAGAGAAAAGAAAGGAAGTTAAGGAAAATCTACACCCTGGGTTTGGGGGAGACACAGGGAACGTATCAGGCCTTTAACATCAAGGACAAAAGCAATCTTTTGTCATGGAACATCAGAGCAAGAAGACCATATGTGGGCAAGGGTACCCACCATGTGAAAGAAACCTCTGATTGCCACATCAGGGATAAAGGACGGTCAAGCCTGGGAGGAGAAAGTGAAGACAAAGCACCTAGAATGGTCACATGAATCGCCCAAGGAAAATGTAACTGACATTGCCAGAGCCCACACTAGAACAAGCTTTTATCTCTAAAATTATTTCCTTTGGGGGTGCTGGGCACCGTGGCTCATGCCTGTAATCCCAACACTTTGGGAGGCTGAGCCAGGCAGACAACTAGAGATCAGGAGTTAGAGACCAGCCTGTCCAACGTGGTGAAACCCCATCTCTACTGAAAATACAAAAAATTAGCTGTGCATGGTGGTGAGTGCCTGTAATCCCAGCTCCTCAGGAGGCTGAGGCAGGAGAATTACTTGAACTCAGGAGGCAGTGGTTGCAATGAGCTGAGATTGTGCCAATGCACTCCAGCCTGGGCAGCAGAGTGAGACTCCGTCTTAAAAAAAAAAGTAAATAAAATAAAATAAAATAAAATTTCCTCTGGGACACAGATCTTGCTACCTGGCTACTATATTTATTTAGTTTTACTCACAGCATTTGCTATTGAAACATTATAAAGGGAGAATAACTCAACTTACCATTTTCTTACACTAGGGAAAGTAAACAAAAACCGAAAATGTCAGGCGCTTTTTTATGTGAGATAGCTAAAAAATAAAGTATCTCTACAAATGCAAATGAATTAGATCCCAAATAAAGCTGTGTACTGCAATTTTAATATTTTAGATGTTTAAAATACAGGGAAGAGCTATGATATAAAATACGTGTCTCTATATTTTTCTTAGAATTATTTCTTGAGAGCTGTTTTTAATTAGCATTTTATTCGACCTGGTTTTCTCATCCTTGTATTAGACATGTATGTACATGTATATTATTCTTTTCTGCACACACATTTATCAAGTGTCTTGGATGTATATGCTATATTCACACATCAACTATTCTCATACATGCAGCAATGGTTATAGAAGGAAATTACTTGATATCTAAA